TTATGTTTATTTCCTATGGTCAAGTTCAAGTCTTTGGTGGAACAAAGAGCAGAATGTATTGAAATAAACAGATCATGAGGGAATAGACTGGGTGAATAAGGTAGGAGAAAAGTGGATGAGTGGGAGAATAAATGGATATGATTAGGAACCCAAAACACCAAATGCCTCTAGGGCCGGGTAGGCAGAACAAATAGGTTTACAAAGCCAAAGAAAGAAATAAGGAGCCCTGAAGGCTCTGGCTGCCTGAGATAACAAGCCCTGCTCAGCTCTAGTGGACGGTTTCCTCATGAGAATTTGGGATTGAGTCGTTAAATAATCTCATTTTCCAAGAGATAAGAAAGCCCAACTTGTACATAAATCTCTCATCATTAAACATTGCCATGTAGTTTTTTAAAATGTATTTTACAAATAACATCTATCATAGACCATATTCATACTAAGGGTCACCATTTTGGAACCTCAAAACTACTCTTAAATGAGTGAGTATAAAGTCCAACCCAGAGATACTGCACTGGAGAAATTATTTTCCAATCCAGGGAGAAGGATATGATCATGGTCTTTGTGTATGAGCCTATCAGAGGAAACGCCTCATTACATAGAAGATCAAGGCCCTCCATCCTTCCACTGCCCAGTCTGAGGGCCTTTCTTGTGCCCCAGCTCCTGCTGGTTAGTAGCTGGATCACTGTGAGTACAGTTTACACTTAAGGGAACTGGAAGCTAGTAGGGGCACAGGGAAGCCAGATCAGATGGAAGAGGCCTTGACTGGCTGGATTTGAGGTCCAGTTTTGTCGTTGGTTTCTTATAAGACCTAAGATCCACACCAAAACCAGCCAGTAAAACTTTCAAAGAGATCTATTCCCGCAGTTCATAGCATGAGCTCCATGTGTTTAAAAGATAGAAGAATTCAGTGAAAATACAGTAAAAAATTAATGACTCACTGCTTTTTTTTATCTGAGATAGTCAAAAATTCTTCATCCCATACTAAGAATAGGCTGGGACCCTAAAACATTAAGAACCATTTAGTGTGGGAATTTCTGGTGTAGCAACCTCTACAAGTGATTGTTCTATTTTGCCTTTATCCCTACTGGTAAAGATTCATCACTTTGTGAGTCACTCATAGTTAGAAAAATCACCTTATCTGTTAGGATAATATTGTCTTCTAAATATCAGCTGGAGAGGACAATAATCCTCCCACTTCCTAGCACAAACACAAAATTGCATGAAAACACTTTCTGGATATTTTAAAGTACTTTGTAAAGAGAAGTCATTCTAAGTGATTCTTAACACGTACTGTAATAATTTCCACTGTATTAGATCTCTAGATTAATTTAAATCCACATCATCCAAACTAAATCTGACTTAGTAACTGGTTCATCATTATTTTTAATAATGAAAATAATAATAACAAGCAACATTTGGCACTAAGGACTCTTAACAGCCCCTCAGCAGAAGCTGTCAAGCATGCTTCTCATGTATTAATTTTGTTTTCTCCTCCTGCCAGGGAGCTGAGCCAGCCTCCTCCCTTTACTGGGATTGTCTGGGCAACATCAGAAGGGTGATGGAGGGATGTGAAAAGCAATGCAACCATTCCTGGAATTTCTTCTGACTGTATTTACAGTGGCAGAACCATGAGGTTACAAAGAAAGGGAAGGGGGAGGTGGTATGAAGAAGAGGAACACTCATCAGGGGCACCCCGAGAAGGATGCCACAGCTGTAGACCAATTAAAGACCAGTTAAATCAGTATTTTCCAATAAAAGTCATAATTCATGACGGTCACAACCAGCACAGGTTTGCACAGAAATATATGTGAGGAGACAGTACATCTTGCATGACTGAGAGACAGTGTTATTTCATGATTTTTTTGCTTATATTTGTGTATACTGTATTCTGTTTTTATTATAGGTACTGATTTAGGCCCCTAATATCCACAGGCAGACTATCTCACCATCTTGACCCTACTGATGCTAATTTCCTTCTATCACCGATGTTATCACAGACACACAATTACAGGAAGATGAAAAAAGCAAAATAAAACGAAAGCGTGGCCATTAAAATTCAAATATTCCAGTATTGCAGAATCTGTCTGATATGAAAATTGATCCTGCTGCCCTGATAGCAAGCAAATCATTTATTAATAAAGTCCAGTTCCAACTTAATGAAGTGGCTTTAACCGTTGATATTTCAATAATTACTTAGTGCATTTTTAATAAAAGTGATGGGAAGCAAGTGTTGTTTCTGAATCAGAAAGATTCTTTCAAACTTCTGCAAAAAAAAAGAATTTCCCTGAGCTTTTAAGGAATAATAGGAAGAATCAGGATATTCTTATTAAAGTATTTCATGCTTCTGAATAAGATAAACATTGACAGGTAAACTTGACACTTTCAAATATATATAATTTCTTCCAATGATAAATACTTCCTTTTGCTTATTTGTATTTTAATATGACTTTTGCCTCTTATCCTCCCTTTATTGGAGTCACCAAGGCAGCACACAGGGAATCCTCGAGGGCCGATAGAAGGGATTAAGAACCTGTATGGCTCTTTATGAAGAATTGTAGAATATATTCACGGTTAAATGTGTGTGCATTTTTATTAAAGGCATTTGACCTAATGCTAGAAATCTAAACTGACTGTTTTTTTTTTCTATTTTAAAATTAGTTTAAAATATACATAAACTATATGTATATTAGTCAGCTTTCCCATTTCTGGGAAATACCCAACACTCACAACTTAAAGAAGGAGAGGTTTAATTTAGCTCACAGTTTCAGAGGGTTCAGTCTGTATCTGGCTGGCTACAAGACAGAAACTTCATGGCAGAGGGCATAGCAAAGGAAAGATGCTTAGTTCCTGGTGACCACAAAGCAGAGGATGGGATGAGCACCAGAGAGGAAGGGACAGGGGACCCGATATAAAGCCCAAGCTCATGTCTCCATGACCTACCTAGATATATGCAGAACGGTGTGCAATTCCCTAGGCAGTCAAGTTGATGATTAAGTTTAACTGTTACGTCATGTGAGCTTTCTGAATTAGAGTTATGTGAAATTTTTTCCTTTTTCTTCTCTTTTGGAGAGTGGTCTTTTGATTTACATAGAAATGTTTCAATGCTTAGGTAATTGCTGTTTAACTCGCTAGCTACAAACACAACAATAATTAAAGGCTCTGTACGAATTATGAGGAAATTGGCCACTTGCAGCTATGTTGTATAAACAGAGTATCTTATTTATATTGAACCATCTGCCTTACTCCCAGCAGGATAAGGTGATATGTCCTGCCCAGCACATAAAAAGATAACAATTTGGAATTGTTACCATATTATTGGAGCCTTTCCCAAATATCCGTTACCTTTGGGAATATGTACAAGATACAGACTTACTTTGATGGATTCCTTTCATATTAGGTCAAGGTCTCAAACGAGAAAGTGAGAATGGAGAGAAAATCTGGCAGAGAGAGACCCCGTTTAGAGAAATGCCTATATTTAATATACCTGCTCATCCTGTTCTCCACTGTAGACACTCAACCTGTCCTTCCTTTAGCTCCTCTCGGGGTGTGACATGGTGTGTGTCTGTTCCCAGCAGCTTGCCCATCTCAGCAGTATTTTGCAGGCCAAGGTTGAGACTTGTTCAGCATATGGATTGATATTGTCTGCATAACAGCAACAGGCAGTGAAAGTTACGTGATGTCACTTCCTCATCAGTGGGACACAATGTACAGCACCCGCCACTTAAAGGAGGAAAGGTTTATTTTAGCTCCCAATTTATAAAGGTTTCAGCCTTTAGCCAGCTGTCTCCAAGGCAGGGCAGCAGGGCAGAGCAACATGGCAGAGGAGGGATGGCTCACTGCATGGCAGCGAAGCAGAGAGGAATGAAGACACCCTTCCAGGCCGCACCCCCAGTGACCATCTCCTCCAGCCAGACTCCACTCTCAAATCACAGTTAGCTATAAACTCTGAACTAAGCCACTCCTGAGCATCGTGCCCCAAGATCCAGCCACCTCCCAAAGCCTTGCCTGTGAGTGCATGAGATTTTAGGAGGACATCTAGATATAAACCATAACAGGTGACAATTTATTCTTGGTTAGAGAAAACATTCTAGTCGGGTCCAAGAGAAAGCACTCACATCCCTCAGTGATGATAAAACATCAGACATACCACTGATTTGTGAACTTTGTGATCCTTGGATGGGAGTTGGCAGGTTTCTTGCTTAAATCGACAGATACTTTCTAAACAATTTTGTGATATCGCATTGTAGTACACATGAGAGACGCAGTTAAGCACTGCTTCCACCTGTTTCTAGAGCCCTCCAAATGCCTTAGAAAATTTTATTTATACAAAGTAGCCCCCATTGAAGTCATTTTCCTAGTACTTAAGGACATCTGGAAGATGTTATACATAATACACTGTAAACTGTGTTGAGATTTTGTTTGATTTGTGGTGCTGGGAATTGAACCCAGGGCCTTGTACATGCTAAACAAGTGGTCTGTATCCCCAGGCCACCATTCAGATTTTTAAAGTTAGTGTTTAACATGGCATAATTTGAACTTTTTACTAAATCATGCTAACCATTCCCTGGTTAGTGTAGATGATGAGAGTTTACTGCTTTTAATAGATTTGCTGTCCTTTGCTGTTTTGAGGGTCTTTCTCATTCTGCTCACTTACCTATGTTTGCATATTTAGAAGGTTGTGTGGGAAATAATTTGAATATGCAAAGAGGATGTTTAGAAAGAAAAAGTGTTTTCATATGGATGTATTTTGAGTACTTCTGCATGCATCTCAGATGGTGACACGTCCCTCTTTGGGTACCTGTCATAACTAGAGTAAGAGTGGACAGATCTCAAGACAGGGATGGGAGGGGAGAGGAGTCCAAGGCAGAAAATCATCTGCAGTGTGGCTCCAGCCCAACACCCTGTGTTGTAGAACATGACACCACTTCTGCTATAGCCCAGACTGTGGTCTGGCCAGAGTGCCCAAGGTCAGACTCCAATGCCATCTCCTCTGGTTCCAGATAAGATTGAAGATGAGCTGGAGATGACCATGGTTTGCCACCGACCTGAGGGGCTGGAGCAACTTGAGGCCCAGACCAACTTCACCAAGAGAGAGCTGCAAGTCCTTTATCGTGGCTTCAAAAATGTAAGACCCACATAGGCTGTCACACCAGTGGGATTTCCCACTGAGAGCAAAACTCTCCCAAGTGCAAAAGGAGTTCCGAAGGAAGCTTCCCACCTATGTAGTTGTAACAGGAAGTCCAGGTGTATAAAGGGAACCTGAGAACACGATCACCTGGTGAGAAACAGGGCTCCAGGCCCAGGACGAGGCCTCTCGGTACCTGCACAGAAAACTGGCCCACTGCACAGAACTTTCACAGAATGGTATGACTTTGGAGAATTTTCCCTGGTGCAGGGCAGGAGCCTGAAATTAACACATTATGATGGTTTCTCCAAAATGATAAGATTCACCTCTACTGACTTATACTGATCACATAGTATGATGTGTAAGCTTGAATGATCACTGTATTCATTTACCACAAAAACAGAACAGCGAGGCCAGGCACTCCTCCTCTTGCTGGGACCTTCTTCCTATATATTACGTAGGAAGCCAACTTAAACTCCAGGTGGACTCAAAGAAATTGGAGTTTAGTAGTTGCTTCATATCCATGAGTACATCTCTGCCTTCTCAGACCTCTGTAAGCTCTCAGATGTTGAATTTTTTAAGATTAAATCTCGTAACACAATCATATCCCACTAGGATGGGTGGGCTAGAGAGAGGTGCTTCTGATTGCACTCCTTCTAATCACAGCCTATAGGTAGAGTTTGGTCAATTCTAAATTGCCTGCAGTCGCTATTCCCCAAGGTACAGGCTGATGGGGATTCATGCACATTGCAGAAGCCGCTGGGCAAACGCTGGGATGTGCCTGCCTTCTCCTGTAGCCTCAGCCATGCCTTTCGTGTGCCTGGCTTGCTACCATTAGGGCTTCTTTCCTTCTGATCTTGAAGAGGCAGTGATAGCAGTGGGCAGCTAATGGGGAGCAGGCCCTGTGGGAATGTTGCCCTTGGGCACTAGGCTGAGAGGAAACAGCATCCAGAAAAGAGATGAACTCAACATTGCTTGGCATCTGCCATGAGTTTGGCACACATACCAAAGATTCATATATTCCTGTTACCCTTGCTGGGAAGGTACTCTGAGCCCCACTCTAGAGGTAAGGATTCTAAACATCAGAAACTGAAGTCACAAAGCTTAGAAGTGGCTTACCCAGGATCTTCTTAAATCCCAAATTCTTTCCAGTTTACAGTGTCCCTTCTCTGAAGACATCTCACCATGTTGCTAAGCAGCTTCAGTCCTGTGGTGGGGTCACCTGCCAGGCACTCATCTTAGAGACAGAAATACACAGGTTCTTGCCCAGTCCAAGGATCACAAGGAGCCTTAGACCCAAGATTGGGCCCTGTCCATGCCCCCCCAAAAGTGAGGGCCCCCCAACTCGCCCCACTGACTCTCTCTCCCCTCACACAGGAGTGCCCCAGTGGTGCAGTTAACGAAGAAACATTCAAGCAGATCTACGCTCAGTTTTTCCCTCATGGAGGTAAGTCAGACTTTGGTAAAGATCCTTGCAGCTCTCTCTAGTGAGCAGCCTTCCCTTCCTCCAAGTACACATTTCCTTGTGATCTGCCTCCTCTTCAAGGTAGAGAGAGAACTCACAGCAAGAGACCTCCCTTATTATAAGTTGTGGAATTCTCTAAAGCTTTAGCAGAAAAAAGCTATGAAAATGGGCCCACTTGGGAAGGAAAGAAAGATTGATAATGCAATATTACAAAGTCTCGTAAAAGCTCTAGGAAGCAAGTATTATGATCCCAGAAGAAACAACTGAGTTTCAGAGACATTAAGCAACTTACTCGAGATCACACAGCTAATACAGACAGACTAAGATAGATCCATTAAGTGTCCTGGGCACAGCTTTGGCACATTGGCTCCTCTGTTGTACCAGACACTTTCCATTCTTTGCCTTATAGCTGGAATGTTGAAAAAGAATTTCAGCAAATACTAAAGACTACAAAAATAAATCCAAAAAGATGTAGGGAGCATGGAGATGTGCTTAAGAGGACAGGCTAGGGAGTGGGCCAAGCCCACAGCACCTGTGCTGCTGCCTGCCTGACTCCTGCTGTTTTGAGGATCTTTCTCATTCTGCTCACTTACCTATGTTTGCATATTTAGAAGGTTGTGTGGGAAATAATTTGAATATGCAAAGAGGATGTTTAGAAAGAAAAAGTGTTTTCATATGGATGTATTTTGAGTACTTCTGCATGCATCTCAGATGGTGACATGTCCCTCTTTGGGTACCTGTCATAACTAGAGTAAGAGTGGACAGATCTCAAGACAGGGATGGGCAGGGGAGTGGAGTCCTAGGCAGAAAGTCATCTGCAGTGTGGCCCCAGCCCAACACCCTATGTTGTAGATCATGATACCACTTCTGCTATAGCCCAGACTGTGGTCTGGCCAGAGTGCCCAAGGTCACACTCTGGTTCCTGTTGGAACCTGCTCTAGTCCCGTGGGCTATGGACCACATCGGTGGCTTTTCTTTGACCTCCAGGTTTTACATGCCACCTTGAAGCCTGTCCCCAGGAGCTGTCTCCTGCCAAACTCCTTCCTTAGGTCCTAAAGTTCCAAGTGTCCCAAGCGCTTCTCAGGACCTGTTTCACATGGACCTCTTCCATAGCAGACAGGTGCCTCCCCGGGTGTGATTTCCATCCCTGGAAATGGCCCTTGCTCCAGTTAGGGGAAGCAGCTCTATCTCAGGCAGGTACCACAATTACAGTGTCCTGAGTTCTGTTGAGCCGCTCCTTATTGAATTTTCAGTATGTGGCAGGCATGGCCCTAACATACTTCTTTAAAAATTTCAAGACATAGGTCTTGCTGTGTACCACTGTACAGGAATGGAAAGGGAAGCTCAGAGAGGTTGAATTCGATGCCTATAGGCACACAGCTGAGATCCAAGCTCAGGTCCGGCTTCTGAGTAAGTGCTCGTGCTCAGAACATCTTCGTGTAGTCACACGTCACTCATCCACAGAGCTCACACACATATGCAGGCGGGATAGCCATTCTGTCCGGATGGCTACATGCAGGGCAAAGGCCTGTCTTGCCTATTGCTCGAAATCACTTCCCATCTAAACCCCAGGAGTTGAGTAACCCCAGGGGCCTCCATAATTGTCTCCTTTCTCTCAGCCTCTCTTTCTGGCCCAAACCCTGCCTCTGTTTTTAAGTCCTCTCTCTCCCCAGTATGGGACCTCAGCAACACTCACCTGTCCTGCTCTTTCTGCCTTACAGATGCAAGCACCTATGCCCATTACCTCTTCAATGCCTTTGACACCACCCAGACAGGCTCCGTGAAGTTTGAGGTAGGTCACCTTCTGGGTCTACTCTGTGAGTTCCCTGGTTCCATGTTGCCTCTGCCCCTGAATTTCAGGGTACTAGGAAAAGGGCTGAATCCTCTTGGTCATGACATTTAATAAACACTTCCTGATGATAGAGAGAGGAAGCAACTTCCTTTGCCCTCCAAGCATTCAGAGACTCAGGGGACTAAATACAAGCCGTTTAAGGGTTCACTTGTACACCACCTACCAGGAGGCAGCCTCTGGACATAGTAGTTTGCATTTATTAACTCATTTAATCTTCATAATAACCCCAGAAGGTAGGGTTGCATTATTTATTACCATTTTACAAGAGAGGAAAGTAAGGCAAAGAGAGACTGAGTAACTTTCACAAGGTCAAAGAGCTAGCAAGTGGTCAAGGCATAATGTGAATGCAGGCAGTATATTTTGGTAGCCACTAGAATATATGGCCATGCGTATGATAAGCAACGCATTGCAGCCTTGGAATTAAGCGGTAGCGAGGGGGCTACACTTAGCTGTGTCCGGCAGTGTCTGCATACACAGAGCTCTATTCTTCTGCAAAAGGACACTTTCTTTTAAAATGGGGCAGTGTGGGCCACAGAAAGCAGGAGCTCTCCACTGAGCTTGCCATACCCTTTAGGCAGATGAGAGAAATGGGAGATTCTGCTCTGCAAAGGCACCAGAGAATGTGACCCAAAGATCTGGCTTCTTCCAGCAGCGTGGTGGATAATGTCACTCCCGCTTTTTCTGCTTCTTAGGATTTTGTAACTGCTCTGTCGATTTTACTGAGAGGAACAGTCCATGAGAAACTAAGGTGGACATTTAATTTGTATGATATCAATAAAGATGGATACATAAACAAAGAGGTAAGTGAGCTGAGACCAGGAGTGTAAGACAGGTACAGTGAATTAAAAAAAAAAGAGAGAGAGCGAGAAACCCAAGCCATGACATAAAATTGTCTGAGTGAGACAGGATTCACTTTGGAGCTGTCAGAGGTGCTCTCTGACGAAATGAAGAAAACCACCTCTGACCACCCTCTCTTCCCCATTCTGTCCTGATCTAGGTGCTCAGGAAAAGATTAAGCAGCTTCCTTCTCACTGGGTCACACAGATTCAATGCATGCTACACATGTGCTATAAATGACCTGTTTTAGTATAAAGAGTTACTTCCCCCTAGGAAACCTGTCTTTTGTCAGGTTTACAGCCATAAGCTAGAGTTCAAAGTAGGAATGATGGGTCTGCAGGCAGTACCTACAAGAGAAAAGGGATTTTTCAAGAAGAGGAGACTATGACTGGATGTCATTGGCCACAACCTACTTTGACTACTAATAAAACCAGGAGAAGGGCTGGGGATTTAGTTCAGTGGTTCCACCACCTGCTTTACAGGCTCAAGGTCCCAAGTTCAATCCCCGATACCAAAAATGAAAAAAAAAAAAAAAAAAAAAAAAAAAAAAAAAAA